ATTGCCAATCTTGGTTAAAGTCACATTAATTTTCTGTTTAATTATACTGTATACACTATATACATAGTATATAAATCATTGCTTACTTAAGTGCCTGGTTTGGGCATGTGACTATAGCAGGAGTCGACTATAGTTGAAATGTATATATAAAAGAATATTCCTTTTTTTTTCTTTATTAACGATTATAACGTATTTAGTAACAATGTTTTTTTTTAAAAAATAAGTTATAGGATTTTCTTAATGAGATTGTTAAAGATTGTATAATAATAATTTTATTCTAAGGCAATAGATTTAACACTTGGTCAATTTTTGACAAAAAAGAAATAAACTTCAAATAGTATTTTCATTTTAATGCTTGGATCAGATCGATCTTTAATTCAAACTACTTTGCAAGTTATTGTAGGATGAATATAATTACCATGTGCAAGCTTCCGGGTATTTTGTAATATTCTCCATTACATATACATATCTAGTGATTTGAACCGGTTGAGGTTGAGTTATCCGATTACAGGATCAATATAGTATATAAGCGAAAGAGAAAATGAATGAACACAAAAGGCGAGCAAGGTCGAGGCCAAAATTGAAATAAAGTTCCTAAGGTAACCGATAAGTAGACTTAGAATTTTGATCGGTTGTAACGGTTAACTGTGAATAGTTCGGTCCAGTTAACCGGTTGAAGAATTTTTACTTGGTTAGTTATCTATATTGATTGTTCACAACTTGATTTTCGATTTCGAATCTATTTTGATATTACGGGCAATTAAACTATTATATGAAACTACAAATCAATAAAGATATGATTCTCTCTTTAATATAACATAAAAATAGCTCATAAGATTGGGAGTGTAGAAAAAAAAACAAAACAAAACAAAATGGTAATATATAATTGATTATATAATTTTTTTTTTTATGTAAAATTTTAAACAATTGAGGATTATACAATATTAAACAAAGAATTAAATTAGTCTGATACAATTCTGTTATACCCTGATCGTTATATACAATTGGGAAATTTAAGTTACTTATACACCGTATTCTTATTCTACCACAAAATCTCGAAAACCATTTTCCCGAAAGAACATAATACCGACTAAATTGGCCAACATTATAACTAATGCCGGCCAATTTTGTCGGTATTAGGTCCTTTCGGGAATCTGTCTTCCGGGATTTTATGGTAAACCCGTATTCTTATTACTCGGCTTGTTCTAAACTCCAGGATATAGCTATTATTAATTTCCTATAATAATAAATACAATGTATACCAATATAAATAAATACTTGGTGACGTATAATACATGAAAATTATGTGGATGGGTTGGCCGGAGATAATAAATTCAAGTATTATTTGATTTAAAAATTAACTTACACAAATTCCGTGGTGATAATAAAGATGAAGAAAATGATAAAAATCTTGTTGCTTCCTAATAAATTGTTTTTGGGATAGGTTCTTTCAATTGTTTCAATTTTATGTGTTTCTTGTGGTTTATTGAGTTCTTTTGGCTCTTGCGATTTATTAGAACGCCCAACTTCGTTGTAGACATTGTTAGTGGTGGTCGTGTTTTTGTTTTTCGGCTCACGCTGTTGATTACATTAGCCATACATTATTTTATTAAGTTGAACATTATTATAGGACTTTCTGCTAATTTTTAAAATTCACAAACTTTATCACACATTCGTTCAGAGATGAGTTCTTTTAAATCTTCCACAAATGGTAATTGCAGAAATCTACATACTGCGTCTTATAATAATTTCGAAAACTTTTATCATATCGGAAAAATCATTGTAATGTAGCGGATTGAAATGATCTAGCGATTCTGTAATAGATTCAAGAGTATAATCAGAAGAAAAATTTATTGTTTCATATAATGGAAATAGTGGTGGAGGCGAATTATTTTAAGTTAAATAATGAAAATCGATTTTTATTATAAAACTTATTTGAACTGTAACTATTAACGCGATACGCCTGCACCACTAGTAATCAATGTGACTCAAGTTCCCGAAAGGACATAATCTCAAAGAAGTTAGCTGGCATTAGCTCTAATGCCGGACATTTAGTCGATATTAAGTTCTTTCAGGAAAATTATTTTTTGAAAATCGTACCGTGACTGGAAATATCATCTTCTGTTATTTTCGGTTCTTTTCTTAAATTTTCAAGATCATTCAATATATCGGTAGTGTTAGGTCTAGATGATGGATCTTTGTTCCAGCATCTTTCATATATCTCTACATAACACTTAGGCATTCCTACTTTTGGCTCTTCTCTTCTGCCAAGAAAAAGTTCAAAAGCTAATTTATGATCACTTTTACCACCAAATGGTGGGAGACAAGTATATACTTCCCACATTAAGACTCCGAAACTATAAATATCAGAGGATTTCTCATGCGAATAATTGGAATTGAATAGCAATTTTGGGTCAACATAAGGCGCTATTCCACGAACTACTGATGTTCCCTTTGAATCTAGAAGGAATTTCGAGAGACCAAAATCAGCCAAAAGAGCTCTTATTTGATGAGTACTTCCCTCATGAATTAGAACATTTCTTGGATGCTACATGATTAATATAATAACATTAGTGTATGAGGAGGCTTCGCAAGTCATTTTAGTGATAAAAACCAACTTAATCTACTATCGAAACTAATCCTAAATAACAAAAAAAAGAACTTAATAAATCTCTGTGAATTATAATCTCTCTATGTAAAAATTCCAACCCTTTGAGAACGTCTTTGCATAAAAAAATCTTGTGATCTAATTCTAGGTTATTATTTTCCTTTTGAAGGTAATCTTTTAAAGTGCCACTATCTGCATACTGCATTACTAAAATATATTCACCGCTATTATCTATAATCACAGAATTAATATCAATTTTATATATTGTTAGTGAAGAAACAATAGGTAATGAAATAAAATGTTATGACTTAATGAGTTTATCATAACTTCAATGAGTTATGGTATTCATAATAACTGTACATAACTGTACATAGCTCGAATTTTACGGATGCATACTGTATTGTAGGAAATATATAATGTACCTTTGGATAATCCAAAGAATTGGATGATATGCTCATCACAATCCTTAAATTTTCTCAAGGTCGTCAACTAAATGTAAATAGAAAGGTATGATTGATTTATTTGCACCACATATGGGCGAAAATTTTTGATGAGATCATTAAAATTAAGTGATATAATTGTGTCCGAGGGCATCCCACGTGTGAAAAAAAAGTGATATAATAGAATTGCACCAATATTAATTGGCTATACTCCTGAACTCTAGACATGTGTGTTGCATCACTATATCAAAATATTAATAAGCAAGTATGCAATCAACAAATCAAATAATATACAATTATATTTATAACAAGTAAAAAAAAAATCAGCCAATAAAATACAATTGCACAGTTAATTTTAACATAAATGATTGGATAAAACTTAGGAAATATTATCATTTAATTTTTAATAATCACCAAATCAAAAAATTTGCCATATGTCTGTATGTATTTAAAAGATTATTTGACAAACCTCACGGTTAAAATCTTTTAACTCTCTAGGTTTTTTACAGCCAACACTCTTTACTGCTACACGTCTTCCTTTCCATTGTGCTGTGTAAACCTTACCAAAACCACCTGCTGCTAGATACGCTATTTCCGATAATTCGGTAATTTTAATATCACAAACAGGCTGTTCATAACGTGGGACGTACGAGGTACTTAAGTGATCCAAAGATTTGGGGCTTGTATCATTTTGCACAGAAGGTTGTATTGCGTCATTTTGAGACTCAACAACATTTATTTCTATATTTTTTGATAAAGGATTATTCAACATAATATTTAAAGTATTACAAATATAAACATTACGTAAAAAAAATAAATAAAAAAAAAACAAAAAGAGGAAAAACTAATCAATTTATATGTTTGACTGTATCAAAAAGATAATTCTAACCCCAATTAAATTTAACATCTCTTTGGTTTAACATAGTAGAACAATCAAGTAGAACAATCAAGTAGTACAGCGTTATTTGTCGAATTTTCATTACTAGATTTAGGTACATTTAAAGGTTTTACTCCTTGCTTTTTATAACGTTTTTAATAAATTTGAATGAATATAAATAAAAAATATAATAGACTATAAACTTATATAGGTGATTGGCTGTATAATTTTAAAGAAATATTTTTGCGTAATAACGTTCACGAGTGTTGGGTCGATAATTTTAAAGAAATATTTTCGCGTAATAACGTTCACGAGTGTTGGGTCGAATTTTGAAATTACACACCGGCGCGTTATTTCGCGAAAATACTTTTATACTTTCAGAAAATAAAATACTACTTTTTTTTATAACCATTATAGTTGTTTATAAAATGGGCAAACTTTTTTTTCAAAGAGATACTTTAAGATCCCGACATATTATAAAAACGGATTGTTCCCGCTCAAATCTTAGAGTCTGGCTAAACTCATTATTAATAATCTTTATTTAAACAAATAATAACATATATATTCTCTCAATTTATTATAATTAATAATTATCCGGCAGCTTATTTGCATTGCTGCAAACCCAAATTTTAAGATTTTCGTCTGATTCATTTAATATAGGATGCAGTAAACTACTGTACGAATTTATATTATAAACATATAAAAAAGAACGGAATTTCAAATGAATGGTGCTTACAGAATGTCATCTGCCAAAAAAACTCGAGTCATTTAGCAATCATTCTGAGTCTCCATTTAGTAATAAACATACGCATCTAGACCATACTAAGGATGGGTTCGGTCAGCTATAAAAACGGCTAAGCCGAAAATAGCTAATCGAACCCATCCCTAGACCACTATTGATATTACTGTAAATAGGAGAGATCGTTCAAATATTGAAGTGATTTTTATTCCGACAAATTGCGAATTTTACAAAAAATAGATATTGTGGATTCAAAAAATATGGTATAAAGCAAGATAAAAGCTTCATGTTTTGCTTAATACACTTGTTAACATTTTATTTATAGAAGGATAAATTAGGTGAGCATTCTAAAAAAATTATTAATACCAGTAAGCATATCTAAAAAATTAATATTAGGTAAAGGTAAAGATTAGAGATTAGGGTAGAGCTTTACATATTGTAAAATTTAGCAAGGAGTTTTTGTTAGACAAAATTAATTTACATTTACACCTGATCCTGACTTGTGATTAATCATCTTGCGTTAGGGGATGGCTAAAGCCATGTGCCCACGTGATTGTTCAAAGTTTTAATTAAAATCAGAATTAGAGATAGTTTAGCATTAGGGTGAGGTTAGAAAAAGGGTAAGCTTATAGGTAAAATTGTCTTCCCGACATTTTTTGTTAATGCTTCAAGACAGTTTTAGACTGCTGTTTTTCATATTTTTGCATTTTCTTTATTTTTTAACTTCTTCGGCTAAGTCACGATCCCTAATCTTAGCCACAAAAAATTGTTCACCCCTGTAGTTTCGACCAATCAAATTTTAAGATCAGGTGTAACGTCAAACCCGTTAGGGTTAGGGTTGAGGTTATTGGTAAGATTTCACGAGGAACATTTTTAATTAGGCCGCAGAAGGTGGTTTCCTAATTAAAATTTAGAGCTATTCTCGTTTTTTTGTAAAAATATGGCTTCGCTTTGATTTTTACATACGTACAATCTGATCCTGAAATTCGATTGGCAAATATTACAGGGGATGGAAATTTTTTTGTGGGACAGTTAGGGGCTGGGGTGTTAGATACCAAATGATTAACTATCATATTGCAGCACTATATGATTGGCCCACTATGTAAGATTTTTGATCAATTTATTGAAAAATTTTAACATAGTAATTTTATAGTAAAAATCTTGTATTTTAAAATGTTCTAACTCCTGTTCTTGCAAAGCAAATTCAATTCTGTAACCTGCATATGATATATAAATAATGTGGTTTTAAAACTATGTTGAGACATTTTAC